AGTATATATATCTTACATACAGGGTGTCCCAAAAAACGTATACACACTTTAACACTTTATTCTTTTTAATTTATATTAATTTATTGTAATATAAATATAATTTATTTATAATCACGCAAAGTGTGTATACATTTTGTTGCAACATTCTGTATATATATAGAGAGGGATAATTGAAAATATTGTAAATATTCGTTTGCTGCAGAAGTCATCTACTAACATTTTGAATTATCTACATATTTCGTATAATTAGTTAAACATCGATGTCTAATTGATCGTTTGAAAATTGCAATCTTTGGTCAAACGAGATCAATCAGACTCGATAAAGCTACAAGGGATCGTTGCAACGGATCCTGCGCGTGCCTATAGTACTCTCAATTATCGTGATTTATTTCGAAAGGAAGCTGGAGCAATTTTTCCAATTAATTAATTGTCTTCGCTCCATCGAAATTCTCCGATGGCAGGGATTATTGGCCGGTAACGAAGAGAACGAAGTGGCTTGCATACCATGGCAATGACTCGATAACGAACTCCATGTTTCCTCTTGTCACTCGGACTTCCAGAGCCGCCATGCTGCTTGCTGCAATATTTTTTACCGTGTCACCTTCTGTCCGTAGCAAATTTTTCAATCGTCGTGTTACTTTCTTCCAGGCAACATTGTCCATGATCCTCTCGTTTCATCGCACAGTGTTGCGGCCCTCGCTGTCAAAGTTTATCTCCTTGCTCGTGCTCTTTTTCTTCATATTCCTGCATGGCAAGGGCTCTCGCGAAGTCCTTAATTTCTGATCAAGAGAATTTCATTTGCAACGCTCTCTTTGTAGATGAGAAACGAGTTTTTAAACGAGGATCATGCGCTCTCAGACTCGGGGCTTTTTAATATTAGAACCCCTCATCTGCAATTTCTAACTAAATTTATCGTACATCGTGTAATTGAATATTCTAAAATCCCTTAGAGGATTCATCGGAATAGGAGCAGGGATATATTTATGTAATTAAATGTTTAAATAATCAACGAGTTTTACCCGAGGTAGCAATTTCAAGTGCTAGCTACTTGCTATAGTACCTGTTGAAAAGATAAGTTCAGTTATACAAAAATCAATGTAGGATATAAGGTGCGAATAAATCGTTTATAGGGCCTAGATTTCGAGAATGAATGTGTATATAAACAGTAGATAAGAATTGGGAATTTAGACGAATTGCGTCATACCCTCTTGACACTCTGTCATGAGTCGGTCAGTGGCTCTAGAGAAGCATTCGAAGATAGATATATACCTTCCTCGGGTAATGAAAGAATTAACAGAGAATATATATATTACAATTATTTTACAGTTATAAATTCAAGATACCAATTTTAGAGAAAATAAAAATGAGAATAAAAATTCCGAGACCAGTCATTTCGACTAATGCATATCAAAAATTAGAGTCCCATGAATACATTCTCCGAGTTGTGATAGTAAGTTCATCATGCGAACGAGAATTTTCAAAGTTTGTGGAGCCTTTATCACTCGAGACTCAACTAATTAGCCATTACAGCTCGTTCAATAAATTCCCTACCCAACAACTGAAACCCGTTTACCTCCACCTAAGTAGCAAACTTATCGCCTTTCCAAGCAATCCTGGATACCACTGACAACCAAATCGAACGATCGGTTCCTCCCGGTGGTAACAACGCGTCTCTGGTTATCTGGATGAAAACAAACGGAATAATTTCTACATGTCGTGGTATCCTCTTCGCGCCAGAATACTCCCAGCCGTAAATTCCGATTTCCAAGCGACAAAGAAGCGGATATCACGGCCGATATCGACAGGAGACGGAGGTTTGGCCGCAGAAAACTCGTTCCCTGTGGTGTAACATAATTATACTTGTCACGTAAACATAAATGAACCGTGCAAAACCACGGTAACTATGTTGCGTACGGGAGTCAAGCCTCTCTTCGTGGTATTTGCATACGCGTGCAGCAAAATGCCATTTTATCCGAGAACATGGCCGGCTATTTAATGAACCTGCAAGGGAAAACGCGTTTGATCGTTGCACCATTTTCTTCCTTTCTCCGTACTTCGGAAATGTATACCGATGGAATTCCTGTAAATTTCGAAAATTCCACGAAGCGGGATCGCAATGGTCCAGTCTTCGTCAGTTTTTATTTTTATATCCCTTCTGTTGCTTAGTCTTCGTCAATTTTTATCTTTATATCCCTTCTGTTGCTTCTTCTTCCTCTGCATCTGCTGCGTATACTTGCTCCTTTTTCTTTTCTTTTGTATCCTTTTTCTTCAACCTGGTCTTCAGTCCGGAACCAACCAGAAGTATCTTCACCAACGGGTTTGAAGCTTCGCCACCCACCCACACGTTGCACGGCGATGCATCTGCGTGGTTGCACTTTTGAAGTAGAGGCGGGGTTATAGATCCGCAGCGATGATTTATAGCCTTGCAGCTTTATGCACTAGATTACGGGATGCGTTTGCGAAGTTATTTGCATCGCACAATGGAAGGATGAACCTCGGAACAGTTGGCCTTTTCGATTTCTTGTCCAAGATTGAGGTTATGTACGGAATGTCGAAGACCGCGATGGCCAGATTGCGGGATTCGTTTGTTGCTTTATTTATTGTACAGCGCGCATCGGTCCAATGAACCTTAAAAATATTTTATTTTTTAAATCTCTCGACCAGAGTCGAGGTTATGTTCGAAATTTCGAAGATAGCGATGATCAAATTACGGGTTATATTTATAGGCTCATTTTCATTCCATAAAGGTGCAGTGAACCTTAAAAATATTTAATTTCCTTAATTTTTCGTCGAGTGTTGAGGTTATGTTCGAAATTACAAAAATTACAGGTTATATTTATAGGCTCATTTACATTCCACAATAGTGCAATAAACCTTAAAAATATTTAGTTTCCTTAATCCTTCATTAAGTGTTGAGGTTATGTTCGAAACTTCAAAAATTGCAGGTTATATTTATAGGCTCATTTACATTTCATAATAGTGCAATGAACCTTAAAAATATTTAGTTTCCTTAATTTTTCGTCGAAGATTGAGGTTATGTTCGATATTTCAAAGGTCGCGACGATCAAATTGCAAGTTATATTTATAGACTCATTTACATTTCATAATTGGTACGGTGAACCTTAAAAATATTTAGTCTTCTTAGTTTTTGGTCCAAGATTGAGGTTATGTTCAAAATATCAAAGACCGTGCTGATCAAATTGCGGATTATATTTATAGGTTTATTTACATTTTATAATAGTGCAATGAACCTTAAAAATATTTAGTTTTCTTAATCTCTCTTCGAGGTTTAAACCTTGGAAATATTTAATTCCTCGAGATTCCTTCTCGCGGATAAAGTACCAGAGAAAATATCCGAGAAGATTGTAGAAGTCATGTTGCAGAGATTTATTTGCATCGCACAGTGGAGGGATGAACCTTGAGAATATTTGGTTCTTTTTGGGTTTCTCGGTAGAAGTGAAAGTCCTGTCCAAAAAATGAAAGGCCATGAACGTCACGTCACAGGATACGACTGTAGATTTATTTATGTTCCCCAGTGGTGTAATGAACTTTAAAAATATTTCGTTTTCCCTGTTTCTTGGTGCGGATGGAGCCCCCATTCGAAATATTAAAGGTCACCGAAGTCAGGTTGCAGATTTATCTGCATCTCGTAACCGTGCGGTGCACCTTAAAAACACTTCGTCTTTCGCGTTCCTTATCGAAGGTGGAGAACCTGTCTAAGGTACCGAACAATGTTGCGAAAGTCACGCGGTAAATTGTACTTGCAAATTTATTTCCATTCCTTCGATACCCTTAGCGAGATGATCCATGAAACCAATCACTTTCCTTTCTCCTTATCATGAGCGAAAGTCACATTCGCGATATCGAAGACCACGAAATTGAGTCGCGTCTGACATATTCCTGCATCCGTGGGAAGAAGAATGGGGGAACAGTGAACCCGAAAAAATAAAAATTCCTCGATTCTTTCGCGTTTCTTGGCAAAGGTAATAGACCTAATCAAAGTATCAAAGGAGACCGTGAAAGACAGGTTGCAGGTTTATTTTGTGCCCCGTAACAGTGAGATGTGCTTGAAAGATCTTGGACTTTTTGGACTTCTCGTCAAGGCCGGGGGTCCTGTTCAAAATATCAAAGAAAACCGCGAAGATCACGGCACGCTTTGGCTGCTTATACCAATTTTACGGGTCCTGCTGTATCCTGGCAACAAAGTGGCACTCGCATGGTTGCTTGCTGCATCATGAATATGCAAGTTTCTTGTTCCCTTATTTCTTTTTCTCCCTTTCTTTTTCTCTTTCGCTCCCTGTTTTTTCGACCGTTCGTGAAAGCTGTTTATTATTGACCGACTCTTGTTCAGGTGTTCGGCACCTTCTCTTACAACTTTGTTATATTAAGTGCACAAGTGCCTTGTCATTATCGGTCATTTTATCAACTTTCCTTAATTATTTCTTAATTCGGCGATTATGCCTCGCAAAGAAAGCAAGAAATGCCTAATTTTAATGTCGAGATCGGCGATGACACGCGATGTCTTCGCGAAATCTTAGTAATTAGCTTGCACGCACTCGGTGCACCCTGAATCTTAAATACAGCGGTGTCTTCGTATGTAACGTAATTTTAGAAATAATTCCATGTCTCGGACTTTCACTTAGATCCGGGACTCGTACCATTCTCTGCTCGGGTACGCAAGACACGATAAATCTAGCCGACACGCGAGTACCAGGATACACAAAATGGAGCCCTGTGCCACTCGCGGCTGACAAAGGAATAGAGGAAAGATAGGGATTTCGGGGGTCAGAGAATCCTCGGTCGCGAATACGTGAGAAAATGCGCGACAGTGTTATAAATAGGCCGGTGTAGCTTCTTAAAGGGTTAAGTGGTCGATTAGTCACATGCCTCTCCGGCGACGAACGCCATTCGCGAAAGAACGCTCGAATAGTCATCAGAGATTCCCTGAACCGGACATAGTCATCCAACTAGTCACATCTGGCCTGTTCGATTGCTTGCAGGCGTCGCATTGGTGGAGCTATGAGGGGTGGGAAATTCTTCATCTTCAATAAGAAGCTTCTTTGAGCAGCGTCTCGCGAGGATCCTCAGCCTCGAGAAGGGCTCCGGGAAAAAGAAAAATCAAGCTGATTCGGTCAACGTACTCGAAGATCCTCTACCGAGTGGATCTTCCTTGTGAAAAATTCATCATACCCTGATCCGAGCTCTGAGAAGAGCCTTGAGGCCGATTCTAGAAGGCTGGAAGATCAAGGATCGCGGTTTCCAAGCGACCAGGAAGGGAGCATGAAGCTGGAGGATCCGCAAACGAGGTCGTCGAGCAGCCATTAAAAGCAGGCAGCAGCTGTGACCGCAGTTCATCGTGCTGGTTAATCGTTTGCACAAGGTAGAAAGTCGAAATCGTCACGGAACTATATTACATAGCCCGGAACACCTGAGTCACGATTCTCGCTAGAAGGATACTCGGATGTTCCGTTTCGATCCTGTCCATTGGACAGACGAACAGACATCATTGAGCGATTCTCGGCTGTTCCTTGGACCCAGAGGACCCGGGACGCGTCTCTGTCCGTTCCAGTTCGAGGTCCACGGGTCGAGATCGAACTGCTTAGAATCCCTTGACACACAGAGGGTCTCTGCTCGACGATCGATCGATCGGCTGGAGGTGGGGAACACGCTGAAGGGTGGGGTAATTTGGGAAGGTTTGACGATCGCCTTCTCGATAGTACAGTCTTGGCTGAGACAAGAAGATGGAGAAGAGGTGGTTATCGTTGGTCGTGTTCCTTTGCGTCGCGATGTCACTGGCCTGCTGCCAGACCAGTGGAATTTGGTCCAGGACGAGCTTCGGCGATGATAACGACGAGATCGATAGGAGATACGGGACCGATTACACGGACAGAAGCATAGAGGAGACCATCCTCGGGAATGCTCGTCGTGAAAGGGATTTGGATGACTCGGAAGATCCGTTCCACGAGCGAATTGTTTCCTACAGGAGCAACAGGGCGATCGATGCTTCCAGGTACTTGGGAAAAGTTCATTGTTTCGCTTGATCGCGGTGCTTTTGTAATAGATTGCCAATTCGACGAGGATTCTTTTTCAACCTATGGATTACACAGCGTAACTCTTTATAGAAAAACGAACTAAAAATGTGCAAGAAGCTTTTTTGCAGGACTCTTCGTCTGGCAGGAAATTGAGGTTGAATATAAGGGGGTGTGCGTGCACGGTGCTCGACGCGCCACGAGATATTTCAGACTTAATTTGCTCACGAACAAAGAATCTTGGAAGAAAACTTCCTATACATTTTCGGTGCACATTTTCGTGCAGATTGATCTCCCGTATTCGAATTCCCGATTCTATGCCTATAATTTATGTTACCGTTGATGAGATACATTTGCCTGTATTATTTGTGCCATACGCAACTAGATAAAATACAAAATATTATCCACGGAAGGAAAAAAAGAATTTAGACCTTCCGTGTCTCGTGCTTTAACCAAACACCGAACTTTCAGCCCTGTCTCAATCCAATCCCCCTCCGCTGTGATACTCTCGAGCAACCCCGAGTAATTCGTTGCCCAAATGACGACAGGTCGACGGAAGCGAACACGAAATTGACCCAGCAACCGGGTCAGCTATCGAACCTCCCCAAATCGAACCTAAAACCACATGACGGGGGCCGTGAAAAAGGACGTCGCTACAAAAACATGACGATCGGCGACGGGATTTGTCAGAGCATCGACATCCGCAACAGCGCGTCCGCTTTCGGGATCCTGAAGGATTGCCGCGTGATCGAGGGCTTCCTGCAGATCGTGCTGATCGAGAACAACTCGGAGAGGGATTTTCAACCGTTCTCGTTCCCGAAACTCCGCGAAATCACCGGTTACCTGCTCCTCTATCGCGTGAACGGGCTGAAAAGTCTCAGCAACCTGTTCCCGAACCTGGAAGTGATCAGAGGGAACATCCTGCTGACCGATTATTCCTTTATGGTGTACGAGATGCAGAATCTACAGGAGGTAGGTATAGGCGATTTATAATCCCCCGTTCCCGAGTTTCCGGCTTGGTATCCGCGGTGTGAAAAAGTAAACGAGCGACGATCGAATAAAAGCTCTGTTTGCGGAGCAAATATTGTCCGGCCGGGGAGAGAGAGTAGCTCGTTGGGTCTCGAAAACGAGACGGTGCTAACGATTCGCGTGTTGTTTCTGAAAATAAATCAATATTCGCGCCGCTGGCAAATATTTGCTCGCAGAAACATCATCCTTTTTCTTCACCGTGTATTCTTTCACTCGTGATCAGTCGGTATTTCCTTTGTCGAAATCGTACGCTAATAATTACGAAGGATCAAACGCCTAGTCTAGGTCTAGGAACGTGAAATGATTCGATTTCTGAGCAGGTTTAACACGTTGAGCGCCTGCGTCAGTTTCTGAGGACTGGCAGCAGACTTTTCGTTCGGACTCGCGATCAGTCGGTATTTCCTTTGTCAAAATCGTACACTTACAATTACGAAGGATCCAGTTTAGAACTAGAAACGTGAAATGATTCGATTTCTGGCAGGTTTAATGCGTTGAGTGCCTACGTCAGTCTCTGGGGACTGTCAGTAGACTTTTCGTTTGGACTCGCGATCAATCAGCATTTCCTTTATCAAAATCGTACACTAACGATTACGAAGGGTCAGACTCTAGTCTAGGTCTAGGAACGTGAAATGATTCGATTTCTGAACAGGTTTAACACGTTGAGTGCCTACGTCAGTTCCTAGGGACTGACAGCAGACTTTTCGTTTGGACTCGCGATCAGTCAGCATTTCCTTTACCAAAATCGTACACTAACAATTACGCAGGATCTAGTCTAGGTCTAGGAACGTGAAATGATTCGATTTCTGACAGGTTTAACACGTCCCTGAGGACTGTCAATAGACTTTTCGTTTGAACGGCGTAGATTCTAGGGACTGACAGCGAACTTTTTGTTTGGTCGACATCGGTGCGTGAGACCGGCATTCAAGGGATAAATTATTAACACTATGCCGTCCGCACGTCTAATCAGGATTCTTTTGTTCGGCGCCGGTAATTTTGCGCATGATTCCAACATGGTGTCACCGGCATTTGCCCGATAGTTTTCGCATGACACCAACGTGACGCAACACCACTGGACGGCATAGTGTTAATGACAATTAATAGATTATAAACACTAGATTCCCTCTGTTGAAAGTGCCACTGGACGGCATAGTGTTAATGACAATTAATAGATTATAAACACTAGATTCCCTCTGTTGAAATAAATCTTTACACTTCCGTGGTTTCCTCTGACTGACCGTCTCTTGGTGATCGCCTTTTCGCCTTTCTGGCATTCCTCACCCCATTATCTTCTGTTTATAATTTGTATATTTGTGCATTGGCTGCACCATTCTCACAGTCCAAACGACAAAGTGGAACAAAGTAATCTTCTGTTCATACTCTTCAGCATACTTGAGTGCTCGGCATCTTGTGCTCACTTGCTGTCGCCTGAGCAGTAAGTATAGCAAAATATAGCAAAGTATGGCAACGGTACAAACGGAGATGATAATACTCTTTTGAAGGATGAAGAACGTAGATCCTCGGCTACCTTCATCTCTGATTAACCTCGTTATCTTTCCAATTCCAGTTAATGATGTGATCCGAAATTTTTAAATATAGTCGAATCCTAATTCAATCTTCTCGTATGCCAATTACTGTCAACTGTTTATAATTCGATGGAAAACGCTATCGATCATCCGACTACGCGTGAAACCAGTCAACAGAGTCGATATCGATCTCTGTCCTCGTGTATCATTTCCCACGTTCGCGGCAGCGAGAGGCTTCCCTCCAATTTGCTTTCTGGACGTAGCCAGTTGACCTGGCGGGTCAAGTGACGTTAATTAGTCAATCGAATTAACCAGCCGTTCGACCTCTGGCTGCCAGTTAGCTTTATCGGGGCTGAATCGACGCCGTGTGGGCGAATTCTTTCTTGCAGATAGGCCTGAAGAAGCTCATGGAGATCTCGAGGGGCAGCGTTCGGATCGAGAAGAATCCAGCGTTGTGCTACACCACCACCCTCAACTGGGACATCATCGTCTCTGCTGGAGAGAACGTCATCAAGGACAATGGGGAGGAGACTTCTTGTCCTGGTATTACATCAATCTTCCCTTCTTCCTCTTCTTCTTCGTGCCATCCGTTTAAGCAACTTTCCTTTTGCACGCGACTCGCGTTAACCGTGATGCATGCGTTAACGTCTTTGATTTTGCTTTTGCTTTTGCTTTTTGCTTTTTGCTTTTTGCTTTTGCTTTTGCTTCCGGGAGGTAGTCAGCGATGATTTCTTGCCAAGTTATCAATCGAGTAATTAACCCTTTGACTACTGAGGCCTTTTTGACTGAGTACTACTTGACCTAAAGCCGCTCAAAAGTCTATTTTCCTGTTAAATTTTAACTCTTTCGCTACGATAGATGTCGCCGCGAAGTCTCTTCCGTAGAACTAAGCGACGTGTCAAAGATGGAGACATTAGGATCGTGCAGTGTTTAGCATTCGATCTTTTGACGCAAATTTTTTGAAGAAAAAAGGAAAGGAAACACTGATCATCGCGATAGAGCTTGCAATTCTTGGCGAAGAGAGCTAAGAGGAACGATAGCACTTGTCTTAATATTTTACTCAATTTTTGTGACCTGTGACTATAGTCATCTGTCGTGTGTAGATGGCGTCTCGTAACTGATGACTATAGTCACTCGTAGTAGCGAAAGGGTTGAGTATGTACAGTAACAATTTACTGTAGAATACAGAGAAATAAATAATTTCGTTTTAACGTAGTGGAATATATTGTTTCGATTATTATTCGAATATAAAATAACTTCTCAGAAATGCATACCTAACCTAAAAAGCTTCTCCGTTCTCGGTGTACATTGCAAATGGATTCCTACCGTATGGTACCAACTGGTGCTGATTTCAGAATTTGTCGTAGTCAAAGGGTTAACAAAGTGTTTCTCATTTCTCATTTTAGACCTCTCTATATTATCTACAGCGTTTATAGAATTATTCTGTCGGTTGAAAATATTCGACAGCCGTATTATCTTCTTTTCTATCACCTGTATTCTTCACTAAAAATCTCACCGCTTTGCACTAATTGGCTTTTGTTTTTTTTTTTTTTGCTTTTGCACCTCTGTTACAGGCGACGAAGAGCTTGGTAGAATATTAAATCCAATCTACTTACATGTAATATAGTAGTGTAACGAAGATAGGAATGGGACGGAATAATGCTAGGATTTGAACGGTATATTATATACGTGTGTGTGGAGAGAAATGTAAAAGAAATTCAGTAATGACAACGCGTAGATGCGAATGAGTTGCCTGTGTGTTAAGTATAAAGCGTTTGACGAAGTGTTTTCTAGTGGATTCGAAGCGTAAGTTGAAAATATTTTTAATTCGATTTGATAAAGGTATGAGAAAGAGCAGAGTAATTATGAAATGGCTAATGGGGGTTCCAGTTTACAAAAATTATTCGTGTCAAATGTTTTTCAAGGAAGAGATCTAAACCTGACTTTGAATTATTTACAAGGTCACTGGAAAGTTCGAAGATAAACATTATTATTGGTAACAATTTCATTAAATGATATTGATCTTATCCTCTTATATTATTCGAAGAATTTATTAGTCAAAATAAATAGTAAATATTTCAGTGAAAAAGAAATTTGTATAAAAATTAAATAAAATAATTTTTTGGGGGGTGGAGAAGGAATTAAAAATCCTGGGTTTTTTATTTTTAATACAATTTTGTAATTAATAACTGGAAATTAAAACGGTGTACTAGGGAGAATCGCGTACCTAAAGTAGCAGCTATAGCAATTGAAGCCACGGTCAGACGTCAAGTACGTTCAAGAGCTTCTGCTAGCACACGGGTACCCGATTCTACCAACACTGTGCTCGCATGTTAAAGACACATTTGTTCACGCACGCGCAAAATTGCTATGTAGCCGTGACTTTAATCGATTGTTCCCCTTGCACAGGATGCTCGTACTGTCCCAAGGGTTACTGCTGGACTTCGCAGTATTGTCAGAGAACAGAGAAGCCAAAGTGTCACCATCAATGCCTGGGCGAATGTTACGGGCCCACGGAAAGCGAATGTTATGTCTGCAAGCATTATCGACACGAGGGGAAATGCGTGGAAAGCTGTCCTAGTCATTTGTGAGTAATCCCCTGGAGACTACTTTCATAATTCTACCCTAATTCTTTCGCAATTTTTTCCATTTTTTAATTACCCACGCTTCTATCCGCATCATAAACGTCATAAAATCATCCAGTAGTAGCACCCATAGGGGTGATTATCTGTGATCAATCTGTATCATAAAAATCAAAAAAACTTCTCACATTTTCACAAAATTGTGAGTGTGGTACACAGCCCGAGATAGCGTATTGTACTCCTATTAAATGGGACAGTTGGAATTAAAAAATTAATTTTTACCACGAGTTTCCTTAGTATTCCAATAATTTCTGGCATTTTGGAATTTATTAAACACCCGGAAGGTGTGGAAAAAATTTGGCCTACCTTCGAGCTATCAGAGGTCTCGAAAGGAGAACACCAGTGATGCTTTCTATGCGAACGCCGGGACTAAGCGCTAGGCGTGGTGGGGGAAGGCGGTCTCGCAGTGACCTTGAACTACCGTCCGATTCCAGACAGGCTGTAGCAGTAAACGCGAGGTGATTTGTTTCACAGATACTCCTATCTCTCGAGACGCTGCGTCACGAAGGATGAGTGTGTGCGAATGAATCGTCCGAGGAGAGTTCTGGAAGATGGTCAGGTCTGGAGATCGTTCAATGGATCCTGTGTGCTGCATTGTCCCGACGGGTACGAGGATGCAGTCGACGAGAACAATGTACGTGCCAGAGGTTCTTTGTTTCTTAGTTCGATTAATTAGTCCTGTACCGATATTGTGGTCGAATTCGTGACTAAAAAGGAAGGCAGACGATCGCGTTGGACGTTTGCTTTATATTTAATTCAAGGTCCGGGAAAGAGAGAGAGTTCATTATCGCGGAACGCATGCGAGTGTTAAAATGCTAAATCGCCAATTATAGAACGACAGGATCTCCGTTCTACTTGAGGAGATCGAGAGTGGTGGTAATTGGCAATTGTGGGCCGGCCAAAGACGGTAGAAATACTAACAGATTACCGTGTAATAACTGCGATATCTCGTTCGAGATGTGATTTATGAGATTTATGCTCTCAATGTTATATTATTTAGATTTACTTTGCTAATTCAGCGATGATTTTAAAATAACCGGGACGTATTAATGGGGAAAAGATTTACATACCAGGGAAAACTCGGTAAATCTTCGTAATGAAGTTTCGATCGTCGTCTTCAGCTATAGATCCGTATTATCTTGGCACGGTCGTAACGTAGATCGACACGAACGTGGATCGATATTTATTTAAATTACCGTCAACTTTGATTAATGCTAGATGAGGTCAGTCCTGACGTTCTAACCACGTACGTCAGTTCTAACTTACGTCGATACCAAGTTAGATAGGGATTCGCGTCATCCATAACCTCTGATTCTAATTACAGATGACCACGTGCCGCGCTTGCTTAAACAGCTGCCGGAAGGTCCGCCACGGCGCCCTGATCCGCCATATCTCGGACGCCCAGAGTTTCCGTGGCATAACCGTGGTGAAAGGCGCGTTGGAATTTCAGATTTGGAACGGAAATCCGAACATAATGAACGAACTGAGCGACGCGTTTGGCCGGATCGAGGAAATCACCGAGTACATCAAGATCACCCACTCCTTTCCCATCACCTCGTTAGGCTTCTTCAAGAAGCTCAAGGTCATCAAGGGAGAGAAACTGGACATCAACAACGCTAGCCTGTCCGTCCTCGACAATCCTAATCTCTCCAGTCTATTTCCACCCGGGCACGACGTCAAGATCGAGAATGGTCGACTGTTCTTCCATTACAACCCGAAGTTATGTCTGTCGAAGATCGTGCAGTTCAGCAAAATGGTGAACATCTCCAACTTCACCGACCTGGAGATACAGCCCGAGTCGAACGGCGAGAAAGTGGCCTGTGACATAGTGAACATAAACATCACGGTTCAGAATCTGGGGCCTGATTACGCGGACTTGGTGTGGGATAGTTACAAGCCTCCAGAGGGTCAGCAGTTGCTCAGCTACCTGCTCAACTATATCGAGACGGAGAACCAGAACATCACGTACGAGATGAACGCCTGCGGAGGTAACTATACCTGGCAAATCGTCGACGTGGACATCCCTAAATGGAACACCACGGTGTCGAAGCACCTCAGCAGTCTGAAACCCTACACCATGTACGCGGTATACGTGAAGACGTTCAACGCCAGAACCACCAACTTCTTCGTGAACCCGGTAGGTCAGTCGAGGATCATCTTCTTCAGGACAAGGAGCACCATCCCGTCTCCTCCAATGAACGTAGCGTCCACTGGCCTGAGCGACACCGAGATCCAGGTGAAATGGGGACCACCCATGTTCCCTAACGGACCCATAGGGTACTACATGCTCACCAGCACTATTATCTACGAGGACGACGATCTAATCTCTTTCAGGGATTACTGCAACGACACGCTGGACAACGAACTCGAGACCGAGGAAGTGTCACCGCCGGTGAAGACGACGATGATAAGCCGGGGGTCGTGTTGCTCGAAGAACACGAACAGGAATATCTTCTCGTCGAAGAAGTTCGAGATCTTTTGTCACGAGAACACGACCATCAGCTACATATCACCCGGCTGGAAGGATTATTGCGTGTACAACAGCTACAACAACGAGGACAACCAGTTCTACGAGTTGACGCACAACCTGTCCACTCTAAGGCCGGAAGAAACAACCACGATCGACGCGACCAAGTCCCCTGGCAACGTTCTAGACGAGAACACGGTCACGTACAACATCAGCGGTCAGAGCAATTCGTTCGTGATCAGAAACTTGCGCCATTATTCGCACTACGTCATTACCATAGCCGCGTGTGGTGTGAAGGTCGACGAATCGAATATGTGCTCGTCGATCCAGTACTCGCACACCAGGACGAAGATGCGAAATCATACCGACGACGTGAGAAACGTGAAGGTCCTGGTGACTAACAATACCGTCGAAGTGTTCTGGGACCTGGTTAAGGACCCGAATGCCCTCACAGTGTCCTACACCATCGAGTACACGAATCTTGACGTGAAGAACGCGAAGAAGAGCACCGAATGCATCCCGCGGAGGAGTAAAAGGGATCTAACAAACAACTACCTCATCAAAAACCTGAGTCCCGGAAAGTATAGCCTGCGAATGAAGTCCACGTCGTTGGCAGGTCACGGTAACTTCTCCGACGCGGTGTACTTCTCCATAGATCTGAGCAACACTGCCTCTATCGCGTTGATCGCGTTGCCGATACTCGGTGTTCTGTGCATGGTACTGATCGTGGTGTTCGTCATTCTGAGACATCATCAGAAAAGAAAGAAGCAAGAGAGATTGATCGCCAGCGTGAACCCTGACTACATAGAGACGAAGTACGTGATAGACGCTTGGGAAGTGCCCAGGGAGAGCGTCGAGATCCTGGAGGAACTTGGTTTAGGCAACTTCGGTATGGTGTACAGAGGAGTGTACGACAAGACTACGCCAGTGGCCATCAAGACCATCTCGAAGATGGCCAGTCAGAGGGAGAAGAACGAGTTCCTGAACGAGGCCTCGGTGATGAAGAACTTCTCGACTTTTCATATCATCAAGCTGATCGGCGTGGTGTCCATCGAGAATCCTCCGTTCGTCATCATGGAGCTGATGGAGAATGGAGACTTGAAGACGTACCTGCGACGTATCCGCGATACGCATCTCGTGCCAGATGCCTGCAGAATCATGCGAATGGCAGCCGAGATAGCCGACGGCATGGCCTACTTGGAATCGAAGAAGTACGTCCACCGAGACCTGGCTGCGCGAAATTGCATGGTGTCGAAGGAGCTGGTGTGCAAGATCGGTGACTTCGGAATGGCCAGAGACGTGTACGAAACGGACTACTACAAGATCGGCAGGAAAGGGCTTCTTCCGACACGTCAGACTCGGATGTCTGGTCGTTCGGAGTGGTTCTCTACGAGATACTGACCCTCGCCGAGATCCCCTATCAAGGTTTCTCCAACGAGGACGTGCTCAGTCACGTGTTGCACAAGGGGATCCTGAATATCCCGCGCAACTGTCCCGAGAACATCCAGAAGATCATGGAGAAGTGTTTCAAATGGCGGCCAAGCGACCGTCCCACGTTCATGGAGATAGTGTCTGAGCTAGAACCGTTTCTTGGTCAAGACTTCTACGAGAAATCGTTCTATCACTCGATGGATGGCGTGGACAGCCGGAACTCGGGTCTGAAGAAGCCCTATCACCATGCTGCCCCTATCAGGTTCCATTGGGGGAACGAGACAGCCAGGTGGGTGAAGGAGTTCGAGGACAACGTAACGCTGTTGGATCAGACGAAGGCTGGCACCAGCAGAGGGCGCATCTTCAAGAACGGCTTCCAACACTTTGGTAACGTAGCCAACATGGAAGACGTGCCTCTCGATCGATGAGGTTATAGGCTCAGTCTATAGCGGATTTCGCAATGGCGTGCGTATGTTCCTCCGGGACATGTCCCCGGCAAGTCACAAACTCGTTCGGATACGATGTACAAAGGATACTCAGGGCAGTGAATCGCGAACGAGGGCCCAACGAGTTCGATGGACGGGTATGGGCAAGGGTTCTGTTTCCGTTTCTTGCGATCAGATCACGGTTACACGCGAAAGGCTCTCGTCTGTCGGTGCTCGTTGATTTTCGATTTAGGACCTTGATGGCGACGAGCGACTAAGAAGATCCTCAGTTTTTCGTGCATACGTTCTTCCTGCTTCACCGGAAGCCCAGTATGCCTAGCCTAACCAAAAGCGTCTGAAGATACAGTCCAGTCAGTCGCGAAGTTTTTTGTTTTCCTAAAAAGCGTAACCAAAAGCTCTTAGCTCCTCGGCCATGCAAGTCTGCGAACTTTGTTCATTCCTCGAAAGGATTATACTTCGTCGTTTCGTCCTTTCGCGTCGATATTTCTTTTTTTTTTCTTCTTTTGTTTTCCCTTTTTCTCTCTAGACTAGTAGTTAATGTTTTAGAGACACGCGTTTCGTTAACTTGCAGCCTCGTACCACGCAAAGAACTGATTAATTATATGTGCTAGACACGACGTTGCGTTAGAGGTCGTAAGCCTTACAAGTACAATGAATTCTTTATTATTTGATATTCGTGGAATTTCGAAAAAATCCTCCGAGTTCTCTGGACCAGCCCTTCTTCGTATTTTCGAGTTTGGTGCTCGTCTACGATCAAACTTCCGATCATGGCGTCTAGCTTCTTCGAAAGAGACATTGCCCGAGGGTCTCTCGCGAGAGCAAGGATCCATGGATCGCAAGGACTCGCCTCGAAGAGATATTTCAACGCATCGACAACCGGAAATACCGAGTAACAATGAATTCACTGTATGCACGCGGAGTTCCCGCAAAGTTCTCGCGAAGTTCTTGCAACGAAGCACGCGGAAGAAGGCACACTCGCCTCTTAGGTACTTCCTTCATCGACCGTCTCTAAACGATCGAAAGTTCAAAGCTCGTCGGATCGCATTGTCGTGCTCCATTTCTCAAGTCGAACTCGATGTGTCAGGATTTACACGTACATATACATATCTACCAGCACTCTATCGAGAGAGGAAGACTTAGCAATACCACGAAGGAAACTCCTCATCTTCACACCCTTGCTATACTCTGGTACTCTAAATTACCCACAGTTCGTTTCCCTCTTCATAGGAACGCGACGTTAGTTATTTTTCCTACGAAAATATGCACCTAGACGGAAACATTGACATTTCGAAAATGATCCCTGGATCGCCAAGAAAATCGCGGTGCATCGGGTCTCTAGGATATTTGTACCCAAAAGTTGTAGACTCGTGACAGAGAATTCTAACATAACCTAGCTTACGCTGTCTCTCTGTCTCCCTAACCGTAAGTCACTTCGCTTCCTTCCCTCGACGTTCCTCTAACCCCGATCCTTCTTTGCAAACTATCCCTGGCAAAAGTATCTTCCCGGAATTTGGAAGATCCAAAACAGGTCCTGATGTACCCTGAAACCTAGATTTCCTCTCTCTCTCTCTCTACGTAATACATAGAAATCGGATCATGCATCAGCAAGTTCGCGCAATCCCCCGAGTCACTTCCTTCCTTTTCTCCCATCTTTTCCCGAACTCTACGCCCCTCCAGTAGCTTCCAATTCATCCTGCGATTCTTCTTGGTATTCCACGACTAAGAAGGTTGGAAAAAAGAGGAGCAGCTGCACCGCGATTCCCCATTTCATCCACGAATCGATCCCAGACTGTGTTCATAGAGAGTACAGAGTCGATCGGAAGCAGACAGAGATGGATTGAGATAGGGCAAGAGAGGGTACAGAGGGTAGGGGGTCTGACTTAGGCGATCGTCGAGCACTCGAGAATCCATATACACACATGCATACACCTGCGTATGTACATAACGTGCATACACATATATACATACACACATAAACAGAGTTCCTTGTTGATACGCGTATACGATTCGCATACACGAGGCGCGCGTGTGCGTGACCTTGGAGGTTGTACATAATATTTTATCCGCCAGGAAGACGATGGCCCGATCCGGGACAGGGTGCACGCAAAGGCGCGTTTCCATCGTGCGCGTATACGTTGTTCTAGGTAAAAACATTTGCAATAAGCATGCCAACAATCTTCTTGCAATAAGTGACTAAATATTAAACGTATACAGAGTACGATAGTTAAGGGTTGTAAGCGTGTTGTATAGCGGCTTAGGTAAAGCAGGCGGAATCTACGTGACAGAACAGAAAAGAGTATATCTCTATTTTATTGTAACATATATACGCATATGTGCATGTATACATATACACACGTGGCACACATTCGGATAAGTATTTTTTCGGCGGCCCTATATTTATTCTTCGATCGATCCGACACACACACACTTACACAGGGGGTTGAAAGGGGTGTATGGTACGTGTCCCGTGATGAACGGACACATTGGCGCAGGTACAGACGGAAGTTCAAGGGGAGGTTATGTCGACCGTGGTCGGACAGAGTCCACGGAATGGATTCTCCCCGCTTTGCCGACGATATAACCCCTCCATTTCTTCGGTTTCCGAGTCCTCGATCTTGCACTAACGATACGGTCGAGTCGAAGCGACCGTGGTCGGACAGAGTCCACGGAATGGATTCTCCCCGCTTTGCCGACGATAACCCCTCCATTTCTTCGGTTTCCGAGTCCTCGATCTTGCACTAACGATACGGTCGAGTCGAATCGTCCGTGAAAATTCGAAAAATTCGACCACGCGAAAGATGAATCGTGGCATCGGCCTGTACCGGGTGTTTCTTCGCGATTTCATCGAGTTATCGGGGTTGAAGAGCGACAAGTGTCTTGGATGGGAGCTGGAGAATTTTGAGGTTAGGTGTCGTAGGTTATGTTAGACAATGAATGTCTCTTGCTTGAGAATAGAAATTTGAATATTTGAATATTATTTCTCTTCTTTTCCGAGATAAATGGATTGACTTTGAAATTTTTTAATTTTTTTTCTTTTTCTGTGAGTTGTATATTTTTTGACGGTGTGTACACGCACACGTGTTCAGCATCAGTGTATAGTTACAGTGTTGCGTTACTTAATTGGGAAGCATAAATTTAATTTTTCGAATGTTTCTATAATTTAATGCCTTTTCTAAAATTCTTCGTCATTGATGACAAAATATTTTCACAATATCGCCGATAATGTACTCTCGTGGACCATGAAGTAAAAGTGAAACACCCTGTACATGCTGTACCATGCGTTGAAATCTTTCGTTTTCATGAATCGACTATTCGCAGAGAGATAAACGAGTATATATATTAATATTAAAATAGTTTCTATGTTTATATATACATATATATACATATATGTAGGAATTATTTAGGAGGCAGCAAAAGGACGGTGGTAGATAAGAAAACTTTTATTTATTATGAACTGATTTAGATACTGTAACCTTTCACACTGACTCTCACAGGACTCTCCTTTCGAACTGTTCGTTTCTCGCTCATGCACCCTTATATATCATTTGCATCCAGGCGTGGAATATTCCACGAGCCCGCGCTGTCTACTATTAGTAAGCGCGGAAAATTCCATAAAATCGTGTGTGGAATATTCCATGCTAACCATTCCTACATATATATATATACATACATGTAAATATTTAACTTATTTTTATTTTATATTTAATTCGTAGCTCGCGTTCTTTTATTTACTAATTCTTCGTCTGCTACCGTATACCTAGAAGTTCCTTTAATTTAGCAATACTTAAGCACTGTCGTTCGATTTCGTATGATATTTACATTAATTTATCGATACTGTCTCTAATCTTAACGATGGTAATTTAACGAACAGTAGATCGAGATCCACACAGCCGGAAGGCTGGCCTGCGTACACCACGTGTCTCGTTCTTTTTCTTTTTCCACTTCGAAGAAACTTCTAAACCTGCGAGATAGTCGAGGGAACGCGAACGCTTGACAGAAGAAAGTGAGTGACGAGTTAAATGTACTATAAACGACGGCTCGAGAAATAGTCAGAGAGGTATTATATAAGACGGGACGATTGGTAAAAAGTAACAGTGATAGGAGAAAGTCGCGTTTTGTTACTAGAATATTCGATTACCGTGGTCTAATGATAGATTTTGAAAGGATCAGTGTGCTTGACATTCGTCGTGGTTAGGTACGTTGACCGATCATTCTCGCGAGTTTCCAGTCATTTATCCCCAGGTGATTATAAATCTACAGACAGCTCAGGTACTTTTAATGCTCCGTTTTACTTTAGTTAGACCCACGTTGACATCTTAGCACTATGTTATAGTCTTTTCGCTCTCAGACAGCCGAATAGGAACTCGGTCTCTTCGTCAGACTGCCCGTTTCTCACCTCGTTCCACGCGAATCACCAAAAATCGACTCGACTGCCCTCTGCAGTTCTTCTATACTCTGTTCGCATACTCTGTCTAGTTAGACCTCTCTTACACGGCGTGTCACGAGTCAGGAATCGCTGTACGATGGACCATAAGAGACTTAGAACGTCCAAGACCTGCCAACCTCTGCCAAGAGACATCTCCTTCTAAACGCGTTCTGCAAATCTTCAGTTTTTTCATTTTTCTTTTCTTCTTTTTTTCTTTTTATCGAGTAGAAGCTCGACACAATTATGAACACGTCAGTGTCCAGGTAATATGCAATATTTGGCAAATGACGCGTGCAGGAAAATCCGCGAAACCAAGTCCCAAGATGTTCGCTATCTTCATTGCGCGCGCACAGACACACACATACACACACAATGTACATATTATCGTGTAACAAATAGTGATAATAATGTTAATGCGACGACTCGTGCACGAATAGAACGTTGTTGGAGAAATGTTGGCCCGATATTCCTTGGAATCTCGATAATTATACGGATACGATAGACCAATAACTAGTGTAAATGTTCAACTCCGCGGTAACTGTATATACAGGGTGTCTCAAAGTGCGCGGTCAGGTATGGTGGAACTTGGACGAACGGAAATCAAGGAACGCGAAACGGGAATTCGATCTATAGAAGCTTGGAGGGATTTTTTAGTCGTCGTTTAATAACGAATAAAAGCAATT